GGGATCACTGGGTCAAATGGGAGTTCTATTTTTAATTTTCTGAGGAAACTTCATACTGTTTTCCATAATGGTTGCACCAGTCTGTGTTCCCACCAGCAGTGTGCTAGGGTTCCTTTCTCTCCACATCCTTGCCAGCCTGATGGATTTATTTTTTAATTGTGGTAAAATAACAGCACATAAAATGTATCGTATTAAGCATTTCTAAGTGTGCAGCCCAGGGATATTAGCATGCTTACATTGTTGTGCAACCGTCATTAACATCCATCTCTAGAATCCTTTACATCTGGCAAAACTGAAACTCTAATCATTAAACAATAACTCTTCATTCCTCCCCCCCTTGGCCCCTGCTAACCATCGTTTCACTTTCTGTCTCTATGAACTGACCTATTCTTGGTATTTCATAGAATTGGAATTATGCAGTATTGTCCTTTAATGTCCGGCTTATTTCACTTAGTATAATGTATTCAAGGTTCGTCCAGGTGTTAGAATTTTCTTCGTTTCAAAAGGCTGAGTAATATTCCATTGTAAGGCTATACCACTTTTGTTTATCCATTCACCCATCAATGGACATTTGTATTGTCCACACCTCCTGGCTACCGTGCATACCATTGCTATCAGCATGGTGTGCAGATAGCTGTCTGAGTCCTTGCTCTCGGTCCTTTTGGTCTATCCAGATCCTCATGGATGGGTTGCAGGTAGACGCAGGGTCACTTCCTGCTCTCACTGGCCGTGGGGTTGGGTGAGACGAGACCTGGTGAGTGGTGACTCGGGTTGAACACTAATCCCATTTGGAGGTGCACTTGGCCAGAGGAGGTTCCTGTAGCCCCACAGGTGAAAACAAAAGTGCTCGTGATTCAACATATAGTACACGTGGGATTTAAAAGAATGTCACTGTTTTAAACTGATAGCCCACTGTTTTCTAAAAGTTAAAAAAATAGAATGTTCTATGCCAATTTTACCTTGCCCAAGTCTGTGTTAATACTCCTTTAATTTTGAACGATAGCCTTGCTAGAGTAATGTTGGTCGTAGGTCCTTGCTTTTTACCACTTTGAATATTTTGCACCTACCCTTCTAGCCTGAAATGTTTCTGTTGAGGAATCAGCTGACAGTCTTAAGGGAGCTCCCTTGTGGGTAACTGACTGCTTTATTTTCTTGCTGTTTTGTTGTCTGTTTCTTTTGCTGTGCAGAGGCTTTTTAGTTTGAAATAGTCCCATTCATTTATTTTGCCTTTACGTCCCTTGCCTTGGGGATCCAGTTCATAAAATGTTCTCTACTACCAAGATCCAGAAGTTTGGTTCCTATCTTTTCTTCTGTGTAACTTATTGTTTCAGGTCTTATATTTAGGTCTTTAATCCATTTTGAATTAATTGTTGTACATGGGGTCAAACTGTAATACAATTTCATTCGTTTGCATGTGGATTTCCAGTTTTCCCAGCACCATTTATTGAAGAAACTATTTTTACTCCATTATGTGTTTCTGGCTCCTTTGTTGAAAATTATCTGTCTGTGTACATGTGGTTTTATAGCTGGGCTCTCTATTCTGTTCCATTATCTGTGTGTCTGTTTTTCTGCCAGTACCATGCTGTTTTGATTATCGTAGCTCTGTAGTATAATTTGAAGTCAGGTAGTGTGATACCTCCAGCTTGGTTCTTTTTTCTCAGGATTGCTTTGGCTATTTGGGGTCTTTTGTGGTTCCATACAAATCTGGTGATATCTCATTCTATTTTTTTAAAAATGACATTGGGATTTTGATGGATTGCATAAAATCTGTATATTGCTTTGAGTAATATGGCCGTTTTAACTATGTGATTCTTCCAATCTATGAGCATGGGATATTTTTCCATTTTGTTGTTTCTTTTTCAATCTCTTTTAATAATGCTTTGTAATTTTTAGTATATAGGTCTTTTACATTCTTTGTTAAGTTTATTCCCAGGTATTATATTCTCTGGGTTGCAATTGCAAAAGGAATTGGTGTTTTTTTTTTAAATTTCATTTCTTTTTCTGAAGTTTTTTTGTTAGTATACAGGAGGCAGTGGATTTTTTTGCACATTGATTTTGTATCCTGCAACTTGACTGTATTTATTGTTTCTAATCATGTTTTTTTTTTGGTGGAGTCTGTAGTGTTTTCTATATATAGATCATGTTGTCCACAAAAAGTGACAGTTTGGCTTCTTCCTTCCCTATTTGGATGCCTTTTATTCCTTTCTCTTGCCTCATTGCTCTGCCTAGGACTCCCAGCACTTTGCTGAATAAGAGGTGAGAGTGGACATCCTTGTCTTGTTCCTGATCTTAGAGGAAAAGCTTTCAGGTTTTCACCATTGAGTATATTAGCTGGGTTTATCATGGTGAAAGCGGGCATCCCTGTCTTGTTCCTGTTCTCCGTGGAAATGGTTTTAGTTTTTTCCTATTGAGTATGATGTTTGCTGTAGATTTGTCATATATGGCCTTTATTATGTTGACATATACTCCCTCTATTCCCACTTTGCTGAGAGTTTTTTATCAAATATGTTGTATCATATCAAATGCTTTTTATGCATCTATTGATGAGATCATATGATTTTTATCCATTCTTTGGTCAATGTGGTGTATTACATTGATTGATTTGTGTATATTGAACCATCCTTGTACCCCTGGAATGAACCCCACTTGATCGTGATGTATGAAACTGTGGGTGTACTGTTATATTAGATTTGCTAGTGTTTGGTTTAGGATTTTTGCATCTGTGTTCATCAGAGACATTGGTCTGTAGTTTTATTTTTTTATCCTCTTTGCCAGGTTTTGGTATCAGTGTTATATTGGCCTCACAGAATGTGTTAGGAAGTATTACCTCTTTTTCAATTTTTTGGAAGAGTTTGAGGATATGTTTTAAACCTTCTTTGAACATTCAGTAAAATTCACTGGTGAAGCCATCTGGTCCTGGACTTTTACTTTTTGGGAGGTATTTAGAGTTTCCAATTTTTTTTTAAATATATTTTTATTGATTTCAGAGAGGAAGGGAGAGATAGAAACATCAATGATGAGAGAGAATCACTGATTGGCTGCCTCCTGCACACCCCCCACTGGGGACCGAGCCTGCAACCTGGGCATGTGCCCTTGACCAGAATCAAACCCAGGACCCTTCAGTCCACAGGCTGATGCTCTATCCATTGAGCCAAACCGGCTACAGCAATTTTCCAATTCTTCATGATTTAGTCTAGGAAAGTTATATATTTCCAGGAACTTACCCATTTCTTCTAGTTTATTGAATTTGGTGGCATATAGTCTTTCATAATATTCTAATATGGTCCTTTGTTTATCTGTGATGACCTCTCCTCTCTCACTTCTGATTTTGTTTATATGGGTCTTTTCCCTTTTTTTCCTTAATGAGTCTAGCCAGGGGGTTGTCAATTTTATTAATCTTTTCAAAGAACCAGCTCTTTCTTTTATTAATTTTTTGTATAATCTTTTTGTTTTCTATTTCATTCAATTCTGCTCTATTTTATTATTTTCTTTCTTTTGCTGACTTTGGGTTGCTTTTGTTCTTTTTCTAGTTCTTTAAGATGCGATGTTAGGCTGTTTACTTTGGATTTCTCTTGTTCTTGAGATAGGCCTGTAATGATATAAACTTTGGTTTTTTAATATTTTTTTATTGATTTTTTTGCAGAGAGGAAGGGAGAGGGATAGAGAGTTAGAAACATCGATGAGAGAGAAACATCGATCAGCTACCTCCTGCACACCCCCCACTGGGGATGCGCCTGCAACCAAGGTACATGCCCTTGACCGGAATTGAACCTGGGACCCTTCAGTCCGCAGGCTGACGCTCTATCCACTGATTGATTCTCATGTCAAAAATCATTTTAATACTGTGGAAATATTTTTCCTAAGCAAATTGCAGTACAGATAGTCAGAATAGAAGTGTGTACTGTTGATACCTCCCCTGCCCCCAACTGAACTTGCTCAGATTTTCTTAAGGCTGTTTGGATGGGATACTTATCTCTATCTTATCAACCCAAAAGACAGCCCAGATGTGGTGATTTTATGATGTGGGAATTAGTTTTGGAACATTAAATCAAGAAATTTGTAATAAATTAAATTAACATATAGTTGATAATCTGTGTGCAGAGAAACTGTATGTGGGGTTGATGCCAGAGAAATGAAAAACAAGGTTTGGACACAGTCAGTGGGGACAGCACGACTGTAGGAAAAGCTTCGCGGAAGCACAGACTGCGCTTTGTCCTGTCCTTCCTGCCCCATCCCAGCTCTGCCACCTGAGTCAGCCCCCGCCACCACCACTGCTACCACTGCGAGTAGCCATGTCTGCGGATTTTGAAATGAAAGCACGTGAAAGAGACCTAGAACAGTTTGGCTTGTTCTCAGTGATTTTTTCTTGGTGCTCCCAGTACTATCTCTGTCATTGTAGGCACTTAGAAACCATCCCTTTAAAATGTTGTTCTATCCAACGCCAGTCTTTTGTCAGGCAAAACTTTCTTTAAAAATATTTTTAATTGATTTTAGAGAGAGAGGAAGGGAGAGGGAGAGAGAGATAGAAACATCTAACCACTGCTGCCTCCTGCACGCCCCACTGGGGATTGAGCCTGCAACCTGGGATGTGCCCTGACTGGGAATCGAACCGGGACCTTCTGGTGCATAGACGACACTCAACGTACTGAGCCACACCATCCAGGGCTGTCAGGTAAAACATTTTAAACTTTATTCATTTTTGAATAGGTAATCAATCCACATGGTTCAAGGTGTAAAGGTGCGGTGACAGGTTTTGCTCCTAACCACTCATCACTGTCCGGCAGGAGCTGCCCAGTGTGGAGGGAGGCTCCCCTTTCCGCACCGGCGGCATAAATGGACACGCGCTCCACACGCGTGCTGGTTCCCTGAGCAGTGCATTTTGGAGATCGACCCATAGCAACGGAGCCTCTTTGTTCAGGGTGGCATCTCTGGCACTGCACCAGCGCGTCTCAGTGGTGACTGACAGCAGTTCGTGGCCGTGTTCGCCGGGTACCCGGCGTTGTGGGTGTCATGTCCCTGGGCAGGAACTTTAAGCTCATTAGGCGATTTTCTTGGATTTCAGTTTCCTCTTCCTACGGTTTGATCTACCCTTTCAGGGCATAGGCCGTTCTGGGGGTAAATGCGTGAGAGAAGACAGAAACACGGGCTGAGCTGCAGGAACAGCCAGGCTGCTTTTGTCCCTACCGTTTCAACACCTCGGCTCCTGTTCAGGATTAGCTTCCACACCATTTCCTGATAGGTCTCAGCGAGCCTCATATTCATCCAAGTTAGTGTGTTGTTTTCAGGTTTTAAATATATATATTTTATTGGTTTCAGAGAGTAAGGGAGAGGGAGAGAGAGATAGAAACATCAATGATGAGACATAATCATTGATCGGCTGCCTCCTGCACGTCCCCCACTGGGATTGAGCGTGCAACCCGGGCAAGTGCTCTTGACCGGAATCGAACCTGGGACCCTTCAGTCTGCAGGCCAACGCTCTATCCACTGAGCCAAACCAGCGAGGGCCATTTTTTTAGTTTTTAGACATGCCCTCACGTCGGCCTAAGCACACCGAGGACACCTGTGCCGTCACACTGCAGCTTCAGGAACCCAACCCCATCAGTGTCCATTGTTGACGGCGGTCAGATCTCCACCTTGGAGAAGCATCCTGTGTGACCGGCAAGCCTGAGCCTCTCTGAGCATGTTCTGTGTCTGTGAGACACTCCGCTCAGGAGTTGTAGGATGAAATGAAATGGCATATGTGAGCAACCAAGAGCAGAAGCTGACATGTAGATACTTTTATAAAATGTGGTTTTCATCTCAAACCATCTTCCTGAACAGAATCTCCTACTTAGGAATTACAGCAATTAAAACGAAAATCCACCCTGGCCAGTGTGGCTCAGCGGGGGCAGGGGAGGGTAATCGGTCAATGCTTCTAAAATAGAGATTTCTCTCTCTCCAAACATATTTAAGAAAATCTACCTGCTTTGCTTTCCTAACATGACATGTTTTTTTCTTCCAAAGTTATCACTTTGTCAACCAATTCCTTTTCTGGTCAAAAGTAAACTTTTCCTCCCTGGCTTGTTTGGCTCAGTGGATGGGGTGTCGGCCCGTGGACTGAAGGGTCCCATGTTCCATTCCAGTTAAGTGCACGTACCTCGGTCGCAGGCTTGATCCCCAGCCCTGGTCAGGGTGCGTGATGAAAGCAACCAATCAATGTGTCTCTGCCTCTCCCCTGCCCTTCCTCTCTCTCTCTAGAAGTCAATGGAAAAATATTCTTGGGTGAGGATTAAAAAAAGAAATTAAACTTTTCCTTTTGGTTCCAAGTATTAACATTAGGGCCAGGCTTTGGCATAATCTATGGAAGAATGTTCTAACAGCCACAGGAGTTCAGAGAGGTGTGTTGCTGTAGGAAAGAATTTCCCACGATTGCTAGGGAAATGGCCATTGTAAGCTGAATGGCTCCGCGGAGCAGAGGTCGGGTGATAGGATCAGAAGATCTCCTTAAAGGCCTTTCCAACCCTGAAGGCATTGCTGTGAAGGTCAAAGACCTTTTCTTTGACATCTTCTCTTGTCTCCTTCCATGTGGGAGCCACTACTTCAGGCCCGAGGCTTACAGGGTAGACAAGGTTCCTGATGACTCCCAAACCCGCACCTCTGCCCCAACTTGCACCCTGCATTCTGGAAACACTCCAACTATTTGCTGGGAATGCCTGTGGATATTCTGCATGTGCGTGCATCCATTCATTCCTTTCAAGAAGTTAGAGTGTCTGTCTTTTCCAAGCTTCTTCTAGGTGCTAGGGATGCAGAATTAACAAAGCAACGGCAGCTTCAGCTTCTGCTCCTCCGGCGTTTACATTGCTCTCTCCTTGGATTTGTCTAAATGAAACTCACCACCCTCATTGCAGGGTTGCTCACCTGCTTCCTGTAGCATCTGGACTTAGCGCGTGACCACAGTGCCACTTTTCGTCACCCAGAAAAATTCTCTTGTCACGTTGTCAGCTTCCCTTCCTTTAATGTGTAATTGTCTTTTCCAGCCACATCTTTTCCACGCCTTTTCATCTCCTCTGGGTTCCCCTAGCCCAGGAGTGGGCAAACTTTTTGACTCGAGGGCCACAATGGGTTCTTAAACTGGACCGGAGGGCCGGAACAAAAGCATGGATGGAGTGTTTGTGTGAACTAATATAAATTCAAAGTAAACATCATTACATAAAAGGGTACGGTCTTTTTTTTTTTTTAGTTTTATTCATTTCAAACGGGCCGTATCCGGCCCGCTGGCCGTAGTTTGCCCACGGCTGCCCTAGCCCACCAGCATTGCATCCCTGGCCTACAGCCAGCGGCTTCCTGTTGGAGGGGCGCTGCTAGTACTGCTCACTCCACTCTCTTCTGTTCTGTGAGATTGGGATCAAATTGCATCAATTAATGGGCAACGTTAGTTAAATCAGGGAATCCTAAAAATGTAACATGTACTTTAAACACTTTATTTTCACCTAAAACATGCAAGTGTTCATGCACCCATCTTCAGTTCTGGGGCCTGGCATTTTCTTAAAGCAGACCTGTTGCTTGGGTTCCCTAACGTCTTCCCACGCTTGTAATACCTCTGCCATGACTTTCAGTTTTAGTTCCTCTCAACAGGAGCAAGAACTGTGTCCTTCAGAAGAAGACCGTGTACAATCCTTTCCCATGTGTACAAATATTCCCCTCATCCTTACATCGCTTCTTGCCTCACACCTTTTTCAATGACTCGCCTTCACTGCGTCTTTTCAAAGTCTGCAGCGTGGCTTTTGAAGAAACTGTGTCTCTCTTTGTGCTCCTATTTCATTGGTTTACGTAGTAATTAAGTGATGTAAATAAAACCATTGGTACGATTAGCATAACAGGCTTGGAACAAATACACCTGACTCTTCTTGAGCAGACAACCCGAACGGTGGGAGCAGGCACACCAGTAGGCTCCTCCCAGGCGTTATCAGCACATCTTATTGAAGTGGGTGTGTTGGTTGGTTTGGTTTTCTGTAAAATGGTAGGTAGAGGGTGTGGAAGAGCGCAGGGTTTGTATTACCAGAGTGATTTTTCTAAATCACAGTTTTCCTCAGGCCACTGCTCGGCTCACACCCCTCCGAGCCCCCTCACTGGGTGAGAAGCAGGAGCGAACCGCGGCCTTGCCCAGCGAGACCCCACTGCAGCCCTCAGGCTCCTGCTCATGCCTGGAACTCCCGTCCTGGGCTCCGGCGGCTGGTTCTTTGAACACACTCCGGACTCTTCCACAATCAAGCCCTTGTTCACTCTGCTGAACAAAGACAGGGCCCTGCCGCTGGGGCCTGCGTGTCCAGGATGCGCATGTCCGTGCCTGGCACCGCCCGCCCTCCGCCCCGGCCCCTCTGCCACTTGGACACTGACAGAGGCTGTTCAGCATGAAAGGGCCAGCGGGGCAGCACCTCCCTGAGCAAGCAGGCAGGCATCCACAAC